CTCCGTAATTTGCACTGAGAGGAGGCGGACAGAAAATACCTTTCTTAGAAAGCTGTCCTGCTGTGCAGGGCTTGTATCTTAGAGTTTTCTATAGCACCCATCAACATAGTACCTAAGCTCAAAATAATTGATTGTGTGTGTGCTTATTTCCATGGCAGACCCTATGGAGCCCCTGCTGATGTTATTCCCTGTCTAAATAAAAAAAGGCAGTACCTAAAAATGTGAACTATAAACATGTAATGTTTCTGCCCCGCTTGAGAACCCCACCGCTGACAATGGGAAGTGTGCCAACTGTTGCTATAGTTCTGTAAAAATCCATCACTCTCCACTGTGGGATTGGATGCAAATATCTTGTTATTCTATCTGTGTGTTTCAGGAGAATGCAATGTAATTAGTGGCATGGCATCTGTTCTTAAATGGATTTTAAATACCATACACTTAAGGAGAGAGAGGCCCCATGGATGACAATGAAAATCCTCTGTTGATAGAGAAAGATCTCATTCACTTACCTTTGAGTTTGCCCCTCTAAACTCTGGTTCCTTCTCCCCTCTCTGTCCCACTCCCTGTAAACAGACAGGTTGGGGTTGAGGCATAGTGAATTTCACACTGGCCTAGTAAGTCTTTACCAACGAAAACTCATGATCCCATCAACATGTTTTGTTAGTCTTTAAGGTGCTGCAGGACTATTCGTTGTGTTTTTAAGATCACCCTTTAAAGTCATCAGTTCTTTTCATAGTTAAGTCTCTCCTTTCCAGCCTCGCTGTTTATAGTTCATAGCTACATTGGGGTTTCAGATTCTGTGCCTGGAATGGTTGCCACTGACTGCATTTAAGCTAGCCACCTCAAGGGCCCTTACTGGCCATGGCTAGAGACTTAGGCCAAATTTCGGAAAGTTGGGGACTGAAGTTGTGGACCTGATGTTGGGCAGGTTGTTCAGCATCTCAGAAAACAGTCACATCTCCTGTGTAAGCCATGAGGAGATGCAGATACTCAGCACTTCAGGCCATGTCATGAAGGTGTCTAAATACAGTTTTGGTGCCTGACTTACAGCCCTGAAGTGTAAGTTTTCCCGTGAATGTACACCAGTTCTTACAGCGTGAGGCTGATGAGCTCTGGGTGCAATCCCATCTTGTATTAGCTGCAAGCCCAAAAGGCAGATTACGTCAGATTTGTTCTCCACAACGGTTCTCCTTTGTTCCCAGCTTCATTCGTACTGAGGAGGGGTCACTGATTAGCAAGAAGCAGTGATAATGTACCCTAACCCTAACATCTGTGAGATGCTTTTCTGTCACAAACTCTCCCCCGTTCTACACAGGTGACAGAACTCTTAAGCAGATCTGAGTCCTGATTCTTTCCTCCCTCTCAACAGAGACCCCCCAGCTAAACCCTGTGATTGAGCCTCTATCCTGGATGCTGGGCACTTGGCTGTCAGACCCACCAGGAGATGGTGACTACCCTACAATGAAGCCTTTTCAGTACCTGGAAGAGGTGCACATCTCTCACGTGGGGCAGCCCATGCTGAACTTTTCGTAAGTCTAAAGCTCAGTTTGTCATGGCAGTAGCTTTGGCTGGAGCGTGCAGAAAGCCATCAGGTTTACTGGTGGCACATACAAAAGGTGGGAGAGTAAAAATGATTTGCCTATAGGTGAGAGGCTGTGATGGGATCCGACTGGGTGGCCCGAGTCGTAGAGGTGCTAAGCAGTACTGTGCGCCTCGGTTACACACCTGAGTCTGGCAACTGCTGTTCCTGATTCCACGGTCACCTGCAATTCCGTTCACTTCAGTGTTTGCAAAGCACCGCACCCCTAGCTGGGAGTGCCAACGAGAGGGCAGTCGTCATTTTAAGTGTGCCCATGCTAGTCACCTGTTGCCAAAAGGCCACAAGTGGTCCATAGAGCACATCCACATGCTCCACAACATGCAAGTTTGCGAGCCAAGCAGCAGAGGACTTGGGAGGCCGGGCAGGAGAATGGTTCCATGAGGGGGATTTCTTTCCAAGTGGTCCAAAGACTCATTCTATTTGGAATATCGGTGGGGTTTAACATTCTAGACACTTAACCTGGTGCATGCGCACACATGTGTAGCCCCAAATTTACACTGGCCCTAGGCATGAGACAAGCAATATTGTGAATGCTGAGCGAGGCACTTGAATAAGATTATCCCTGGAGTTACTGGCTCTGCTTCAGTCAACAGTCCATGTGTCCTCTCACAAGCAGCTATGAAGAGGCTCCAGATCTGTCCATAGTGTAGATAATGAAAAAAGGAGAGTGATTAAATGAAGAGGTTAAATGAAGAGGGTAAAGAGCTAATTAGTTTGGCACTTTGGGGTGGATTACAAAGGCTGTTGCTCTGAATGCTGGAGAGAAATAATTACAAGCGCTTAACGTGATGCAAAAGATGCCCCCCCCCCCATGTTCATACTAGTATAAATATGTTGGGCATTACTGACATGATTATACTGGGTTAGCCCTTGCGTGGCTGCAGTTACACTGCGCCCTGATGCCACATGCCTGTAGCTTTATTGCCCTTCACACAGGGCACAGCTGTCCTGGCAGAAGCGCATTCCCACCAGGGTAACTGCGTTCCACTGAGATTCGAACCTCTTCACTAGAATGGTCTAGCTGACGCAGTATCGCGTTCCTGTCTGGATAAGGCCTAACAAGAGGTAACATGTTCGTACACAAAGATTATTGATCAGAGTGCAACTGCAAACACCCAAACTGTCCTTGTTTGTGTGCGTAGCTCTGCACACAGTTCCTCATTTCTTACGCTGAGACCATGCGTCAGACGCCGAGAGTCTGTTTCTTGGGCACTCTGCACTGTATGTCTGTCATGATACATTCTTGCATGCTTACTTGTATCTTACTAGAAGACTTACCCTGCGTTGCCCAGGTCCTTCACGGCAGGAGGCTGGTGATGTGGGGGGGGGGGTGCAGGAGTCAGGGCAGGGCCTTGGGAATGAGGGGGGAAGCAGAGCAGGAGGCTGAGAGCATGGGGAGGTATGAGTGTGAGGGTTGTGGGGTGAGGAGGGGCTCAGGGCAGGGGGTCCCATCCAGCAGGGCTTTCTGTCTCCCCACATCCCTCTCCTGTGGCTGCCAGGGGATTTCTGTCTCCCCCCAGCCACCAAGGGCCTTTTCTCTCTCCCCTCCAGCGCTGTGGCCAAGCACTGGGAGGGGAAAGGGCTTGGAGTAGAGGGGCTACTTACCCAGTCTGGTGGCAGGCAAGGTGGCAAGCTCCAGCCCTACTGACCACTCTGTTGGTGGTGCAGCTGCCCTCAGTGGTCACTCTGCATTTAGCTTTCCCCACCACTCGCTGCCCCCAATGACAGTCAGTATCACGTCCATCTTCTCTCTGCCCCCTCCCTTTCTGTGTTGTAGAAAACAGTCCCACTCCAGGCACTTCCTGTTTTCTTGGCACAGTCAAAGCCTGACCTCACTTTAAGTTGGGATAAGAGAGATCTTGGAGTCATTGTGGATGGTTTTCTGAAAACATCCACTCAGTGTGCAGCTGCAGGCAAAAAAGCAAATAGAATGTTAGGAATCATTAAAAAGGGGATAGAGAATAAGACAGAGAATATCTTATTGCCTCTCTATAAAACCATGGTACGCCCACATCTTGAATACTGCGTACAGATGTGGTTGCCTCATATCAAAAAAGATATATTGGCATTGGAAAAGGTTCAGAAAAGGGCAACAAAAATGATTAGGGGTTTGGAGCGGGTGCTATATGAAGAGAGATTAAAGGACGGGGATTTTTTAGTTTAGTAAAGAAGAAACTGAGGGGGGATATGATAGAGGTCTATAAAATCATGACTGGGGTGGTCCATCAAATTGTTTGGTCTGTTGACCTCACGCATAAAGACCACCCAGCCCAGAGTCTCAGTTTCAGTGAGAACCAGCTAACCAAAGCAGCCCTAGTCCCATACTGAACCACATTCTTTAGTAGCCAGACAACTTGTGGAACTCCTTGCCAGAGGATGCTGTGAAGGCCAAGACTTCAACTGGGTTCAGAAAAGAACTAGATATATTCATGGAGGATAGGTCCATCAATGGCTATTAGCCAGGATGAGCAGGGATGATGTCCTTAACCTCTGTTTGCCAGAAGCTGGGAATGAGCGACAAGGGATGGATCACTTGATGATTCCCTGTTCTGTTCATGCCTTCTGGGGCACCTGGCATTGGCCACTGTCAGTAGACAGGATACTGGGCTAGATGAACCTTTGGTCTGACCCAGCATGGCCGTTCTTATGTTTTTAAGAGGAAGCTGGATATCAAATTTGGTGGTCCTCGCTCTTACCTTTTAGGAGTCTTCTTGAACAAATAGACTGAGACCTAGACTGATGTTTCTAAAATCTAGATAGATTACACAAGTCAAATGTGTTCTTGGAATATTTAGCACTGAGTATTTTTTGGGATTAGTAGTTGTTGTGGCAGTCCCTCGCGTGTAACTCTGGTGAGTTTTTGGGTACTTTTTAGGTTTGTCCTCTTAATGTTTAGATTTCAGTTAGCGAAATGGAGCACTCAGGCCCAGCCACTACTTTGGGGTGGGGCTGGACTTCTGCGACATAGCACAATCTGAGGTGGGGATTCCATCGGTTTGAGAGGCATGCACGTGTCAGTGTTGGGAGGAGTACTCCTCAGGTTTGTCTGCAGAAGAGGCCAGATTAGGGACTTCTAGGAGCCAAACTAGCAATGGCTCAGGGGAAGTTTCCCCCACCCTTCATTTATAGAAATAAGGGGTTGGAAATGCCATCCAGAGACATGGAAAATAAGGCCAAAGCAGACAGTAATTAATGACAAATCAAAAGTGCAGGTAGACCCAGTGTTGCAGCTGCCCGAATGTGATGTTATTGTTACACACAAGACTCAGGGTGGGACTGATATGAATACATCCTTGCACGGGCTGATGGAGACTGCCTAGGTCTTTGTGTTGGTGTGTTTGTGCTTTGTGGGGAAGAGCAGTGTCTTACTAGCTCTTGCAGACCTATGGAAGAGGCGGCCAGCCAGCTTTGCAGAGGGGAAGGTAGATGGTATGAGATCAGATATTTAACTGAGTAAGGAGGAGTATTTAGGGTAAATGGTGTCTCCCAATCAATGAAATGACCGAATTTCCAAGAGTCCCTCTCAGCCACTTCTTGTGTTGTGACAGCTGAGCTATGGAAAGCTCTGAGCACGAGAATAAAACAGTACATCTGTTAAGGGTAGCCAGGCGTAGCATTATAGCTCTTGCAGCTTTTAGAACTTCCAGAGTTGAAATGCTGCTTTACTGCTGTGCCAAGCACTGGGACATCCGAAGCGTGAAGATGGCTTTGTATTCCTCTGCCTACAACAGAAGTACTGCTGGTGACAACGCCATGGAATAGGGTTATTCTCGGTGCTGAGACTGAGCTGAAAATGTTGCATTTTGCTCCTCTTACCTCGCAGAAACATGGTAGCTCTAGCCTCCTGCTTTCCCAACAGGTTTAATGCGTTCCATCCAGACACCAGGAAGCCAATGCACAGAGAATGTGGATTCATCCGCCTCAAACCTGACACTAACAAGGTGGCCTTCATCAGTGCACAAAACACAGGTACCAGCCCGATGCCCCGCCTTTGGGATCTGTGGGGGAGGGAAGAAGGGCCAGCAGGCCCCTGTATCCCTGCTTCAGAACATTAGTGGATCTGCGTGTGGTTTTCATACCCTCTTCTGTGAGCTGCTAATCTGGCCCCAGGAAGCAGTACTTCCACCTTTGGCATGAATGGGTCCCTGCACTGGGAACCCTGTTGCGTATCACAAGTTGTCAGTGACTGTCCAGACCCCCAGCTTTCTGCAAGGGTGTCAGAGGACTCGGACCTGTCCTGTGGGGGGGGGTCGTCTCTGAGTAGAACAGTAAGTTGGACGTGGCTGAAACTCAGAGAATTCCTTCCACTTTCCAAATGCACTTTCTAGAGAGGGATGACTAACAAATGCAGGTCTGGAGCCTTGAAGAGTGCCGAAGGCAAGCAGCCTGCAAAGTCAAGTGTAAGCGGTAACGTTTCCCTTCCCTTGACGGTGTCCATCTCGCCCTGCTTGACACTCCAGTGTTCAGGAACCTGTAGATCCCGCTGAGAGTGCAAGGAGGCGCAAACCACGGGTCCCAGTTTGCTGTTTGGAGGGTGCAGATCTTCCTGTTAAAGCTGTCCTGTTATTTGGCTAATTGCCAGGTGGCTCCTTAGACATTGGCAGGCCACATCTCTTTAAAAAGTTCTTACCTGTGTTAACAGCATGTCAGGGACCCACCCTAGAGGGGCGCATCACAGAATGCAGAGCCCAGCATGGCTTCACGCTCCCAGTGCATCCTCTTCATCCTGGGCTGCGCAGTCCTGTTCCAGCGGCCTTCCCAGGGCACTTAAAGGGGGCAGAGCTGGCGTAGAACCCCACCCCAGTTATTTGAAGTGAAAAACTTTTCAAATCCAGCTTCTCAAATTGCATCTAAAACAACCAAGCAGTCTCCCTGGGAGCGCTCGTCTAGCTCTCCTGGCTGCACTTTCAGGCTATTGATCCCACCGCAAGTAATGGATGGCATGTCCTGGCAGGTGACTGCATCGTGTAGGCAGGGTGCACTAGGTTTCCAGTGTTTGCGCTGGCAGATGCCAGTCAGGAGAACTGTGTACAGCTCTTCAGGTGTCCTGCAACACAGTCTTGTTGCTTGTAGTGATGGTAACAATATCCCTTCTAACGGCAGGTCTTGTGGAGGTGGAGGAAGGGGAGGTGAATGGACAGGAGTTGTCTATAGCTTCTCACTCGATAGCCAGGATCTCCTTTGCCAAGAAGCCCCATGTGGAGCAGGTGAGTACCCTGGAGTTTGACAACACCGCTCAGGGAGCCATGTTGCGTGAGCGCCCTGCATTGTGAGGCTTGTACTCAGGGCACATGCAGAGCTTGAGCATGACACAGCCGGGCCTTGCTTATGCACTGTGGGACGTGGGGGCCAGTGGGTTTTGGCAGGATCCCACACAGGCACTCTTCCCAGGTCACGGATTGTGCCTTCCCCATGACTCACATCAAATTGAAGGAGATTAGGAGGAAGAGCCAGCAGGCAATTGTGAAGATAACAACCCTGATCTCCACTTAGGGGAGGTTCCCTATTCTCAGTCCATCAAACAGCGACCTGTTGCAGGGTGTTGGCTGGCCAGGGCAGTAGTTCTTTGAATGTCTCCCAGATCAATAGGCTGGGGTGTTTTCTGGAAATCATGGGCAGATTCTCTTGGGCAGTGACCTGGGACATTCTAGAGGCATTAACACCCCCTCAGAGAGCCTCCCATTTTTATTTGCATACGTAGTAATGATGTTTTTAGAAGGCTGACTTATTGACTTTAATGTCAATCTAAAGAAAGACTGAGTCAGTCACAAAACCAGCCCTGTGGCCAACCTGGTCCACTGTGATCATGAAGGAGAAAGAGCCTGCTTTTTTCAGTACAGTCCTTTCTAGCCAACGTGGTTCTGTAAAGCCTCTTACGCACTAGACTGCAGAGCTGTTCACTCTCCGGTGTCACCATGTAGCCAGAAAAGCTGCTGAGAAACTAGAAATGTTCTCCTTTTTAAGCAGCCCTGCCTCCTGAACTTGCTTCCGTCAGCTGAGTCCATCCTTGAAGGGTCAGTAACAATGTGGCTGAGACCCAGGGTTCATACAAAGGAATCAATGCATCAGGGAAGGGCAGACAAATAACCAGTGGCAAATTTCTAAAGTGCTTGTACACAAATGCTAGGAGTCTGACTAATAAGATGGGTGAACTAGAGTACCTCGTATTAAATGAGGAGATTGACATAATAGGCATCACTGAAACCTGGTGGAATGAGGAAAATCTGTGGGACACAATCATACCGGGATATAAAATATATAGAAAGGATAGAGCAGGCCGGGTGGGTGGCGGAGTGGCACTGTATGTGAAAGATAATGTAGAATCAAATGAAATAAAAATATTAAATGAATCAACATGTTTCTGTGGGACACAATCATACCAGGATATAAAATATATAGAAAGGATAGAGCAGGTGGGTGGCGGAGTGGCACTGTATGTGAAAGATAATGTAGAATCAAATGAAATAAAAATAGTAAGTCAATCAACATGTTCAATAGAATCGCTATGGATAGAAATTCCATGCTCCAATAATAAGAAATTAGCAGTAGGGATATATTACCGACCACCTGACCAGGACAGCGATACTGACATTGAAATGCTGAGGGAGATGAGAGGCTACCAAAATAGAGAACTCTATAATAATGGGGGAGTTTAATTACCCCCATATTGACTGGATACATGTCACCTCAGGAAAAGAAATGGAGATAAAATTTCTCAATGGCTTAAATGACTGCTTCTTGGAGCAGCTAGTGCAGGAACCCACAAGGGGAGAGGCAATTCTCGATTTAGTCCTGAGTGGAGTGCAGGATCAGGTCCAGGATATAACCGTTACAGGACCGCTTGGGAATAGTGACCATAATATAATAACATTCAACATTCCTGTGGTGG